GGAAAGAGGAAAGTATTAGTGGACTAGTTGTGGCAGAATTAAATTAGTAGCAACAAACATCTGCCAGAACAGAAGCCTCTAAGATGGAAGCAAACAGAACCATGTTATTCCCCATCAGCTTAGGATATGGCCCAAGAACAACTGCTTCCCATCAGAGCCACCATGCACACCTTTTTATCCTACTAATCACAATTATGAAATCATTCTCTTCTACAGATGTCTCTCTGGTCTTCACTCTAATAGCAGTGGAATCAAAAGCTTTTCTTTTGGGAATACTTCCTGTGAAAGCTTTCTTAGTTTTTACATATGCCATCAGCATTTTCTTCATCTACCCTGTCATCTTTGTTTAGGCCTTCATCATTCACTCGATGCTTCATTCACCTCCATGCTCAAATTGTCAGATGAGAGAACTATAATATCCTGTACCTTTTTTGCAGCCTTCACACCTGCAAGGATAAAACATGGCATTAGAGTAGGGCACAGCAAAGCAAATTTAGAAACACAGGTAAAAACTGCTAAGACTTACGTTACATTCAAATAGTATTAGATTATTTGCCTCATAGTGTAAAATAAACTGGTTTAATCATCACTTTGAGAAACAAATATGACCTCTAATTTAATCACGACAGCGAAATGTTTCTCCATTACTGAAATCCTCAACTGAGTTCTTCTAAATTTAACATTTGGCTACCAATCTCACCTTTACAGCAATGGGAGAGCACTGGGATTTCTCTCTGCTCATACAGGTTCCTGAGAACTAATATGGTTTATCCCTGAAGGACTATATATCAATGCAGCAATGAAAGAATTACAGTAACCAAATTTATCAGTTTAATTGCCTGGGCAAAGTTTCACAGTTTTATATTACCATTTAAGTTACTTCATTTTGCAGTAACTTAATTCCCAAATGGTGCACAGCCTAATCTAACCTTATTTTGCTCATAGGTTATATGATGCTACAGTATATAAACATAACAATGGGAGAATTCTCCTCAGAAGTGAAGAAAAGTCTATTGCCATGTTCCTAACCTATTTCCCAAGCAAACAACCAAAGCACACTGCTAGTACTGTGTATATTGTCTATTCTTTAGGGGTATAATTTCAGCTTAGAGCTCACATAAGAGAGACAAACTCATGTGACAGTTATCTATTGGGCTTGATTTTTACCTATATTTATATTAATCAAGATGCTTTGACTTGAAGTTTTAACTACATATTTTTCTAACGCATGGGGAACTTAAGAATGTGCAGCCTGAGCTCCAGAACTTACCTTCCTTCTGGTACCTCCTCTTGATCATGGGTTTCTCCTGCCTCATCTTTATTTTGAGAAGGAGCTGGTGGTTCCTCATCGTATTTTTCAGTCTTATCAGCATCTCCCTCCCTTCCATTCTCCCTCTCCTCTTGTCTTTCATCTCCAGACACTTGATGTTCCTCCTTACTCTCCTCATCTGCTGGGGACTCACTCTCTATCTCCTGCCCAGCTATCCTTTGACAAACATTGTCAGCATCTGCTTCTTCCTGCTTTTCTGTAGTGAGTGATATCTGAACAGAGCTTCTCCTTTCTTCTTTCTCCTCTGGCTCTTCAATAAGAAATTTGGGAGGATCGATTTCAAGCAGAACAGAACTTTCCCTTTCAGCATTTTCCTTATTGAGCTTGTCAATGTCTTCTTCTTGAGAGCAGGACTGGCTCTTCTGGATGGCCCCCTCTGTAAGTAAACAGGTTATCAAGGAATCTGTCAGCAATTCTCTGATAGTCAGTAACAGTATTAAAGTAGGGTTGCACATTTAGCATAACTTCTGTTGCATTTTGAACAAGCCCTTGCTTGTTTCTCCCACTTTCAAGGTGTCTCCTAAGCAAGAGCAGACTACTTCTTTAAAACTGGGATATTATGGGTCACAAACTGCTCCTTCCAGACAAGTTACTGGAAAATGTTTTCTCACTGATATTTATTGTCACTCAAGCCAAGGTTAATAATCTCCTCATGCAAAGCACTTCTTTGAGCAGTTTGCCACCATGTCCACAGGAACATGAACTGTAGGTAGAGGTTCCTTGAGCAATTTTTACTCACGCTGATGAGCATGCACATAACCCAACCAACCTGGAGCTGCTCAGGAGAGTAATAGCTATTTCTGTGCAGTTGTACTCTTAGGAACTAAAAGCTAATCAGAAAAAAAAACCAACAAAAAAACAAAAAAAAAAACCCAAACAAACAAAACTTCTAACCTGTTGAATCTGGTGGCTTAGTTTCTCTTGTTTCTGTCTCATTCAAATGTGATTTTTCTTGGATGACCTGTGGAGAAGGCAATTGATGTATTAGTCAGTGTATACAATGTTCATGTTGTATTGTTCCTCACGAACAGTTCCTCTCCTTACAGCCTGATGTTTTTGGTCAACTCAAAGTGCTCTGTGTTCTAACACACTTTTCCTATAAATTATGGCCCTTACTTCAATCACTACCAAGCTGATAAGATGGGTATCAGTGCAAAGCAAGTGAAATTATCTCTGTTGTAGTCAATAGTAGTGACAGCATAAATGGCCCAAAAATGATCAGGTTTGAGTCTCAGGGACTAAAAGAGAAAAACACCTGGAAATGAGCTATTGCCCTGCACTAGCTTTTGCTGTTAAAAACTAGGTTGGTTAAACCAAAGATAGGAATATATAATATCCTAGTAAAATGTTCAGTAACAGTCTTACTGACAGATTTCAAAAAGTCTTTTGCTGTTAATCAACATCTGGTAACAGCATTTTTAATGATCCAATAATTTATTATAGGCTGATGGAAACAGTTGCCAGGAATTGGAGCATATAAACCCTCATGTCAGTTTTGTAGCTTCATCTTCTCTACATTTTACAATGTTACAGTGACACCTAGAGGTGATTCATACCAAGCCAGTTCCTCATAAAAACTATTACTGTTCCATTTATGACTAGTTACTCATATTCCTATGTCTTTTGCTCCATGTGTTCTTTCATCAGCCACACCTAAACTAGAAGTACGACAGTGACCACAGTAAACCATGCTTATCTGTGGTTGCTCAGTGCTCCTTTTCCACCTGTCTTCCTCCTCTCATGCTACTATGAAACTGGTGCTATCATCAGATCAATAGATCCACTAGGTGTGAAAAATGCAGATACTTCCAAGTATTTTCCAGAGAGACTACTTTGTCTTTGAGCTACTGGATTAAGCAGTGTAATACATATTTCAACAAAATATACAGGGCCAGCCACTTAATTTTGTCTGTCTTAATAATGCAAGTAGTCCCACAGCTTATTCATATTGTACTCTGGGCATGAATCTGTCCTCTTACTAAACATTGGTTCTCGTAAACCCTCTGCATTTTTTATGGTGTGAGTTACTTATTTATTTATTTCATCAGACTATATAGAGAATAGGCATGAAATTAAAGCAATGTGTATCCACTTTAAACACTGAGTTCAAGGGAAAGAAAACTCCATGAGAAACAAAAAGAGCTGAGAAAAACTGGATGAAACTGCATTAAAGGATTTCATCAGGAATTCTTCGGAAAATCTTGATCTGCAAGGGACAAAGAAGCTGTCATATAAGCAGGAGAATTGAGACTGATAGCTACTTGGGATCCAATTGTTCCCAGAAAGCTGCAAACCACAAAATGAAAAAGGCCTAAACACAGCTAGGTAAGTACCTTTGAAATATGAATTGGAGCCTTGTTCACACAGAACTTAAACATAAACTTCACAATTCCAGATGGATCTTAGGGAATCAACTCATGCTCACTCTGTGTTTGTCTTGGGTTTGGTTTTTTTTTTATGGTGAAAAGCACCCAAAGAAGTAGGGAAAAGCCTCAGACTTATTCGTTCTGCAGTGTGACCGCAATTAGTCATGCACTCGGATTCCTGTAAGTGTGTCAACCTCACCGCGCCACTGAGGACACCAGCTCTGAGCAAATACAGTCAGCTGAGCAAATAACCAGAGAAATGGCCTCCAAGGTCTTTTGATGCATGGGTCCAGGTTTCGCTTCTGCGTTCAGAATTAATTGCAGGCACACAGTGCTTCCTACTAAATATTGCTGTAGTTTGCAGGTGTGAAATACAGAAGCCAGCTTTTGAAAATCCACCTAGTGGAACGCTGGATGATGCTGAATATCTGAAAGTGCCAGAGCATTACATAAATTACTACAGTGTTTATTCAAGCATCATTTCTCATCTCTTACATTTTAACAGCGGAGGAGGAGCTCACACTAATTTAATCAGGAAAAAAACCCCAAACAAAACAAACCCCAAAAAACCCAAACAACAAATGAAACATTTACTGGTATCCTTCAGAATCAACAAATACAGTTATTTGAAATAAATACAGGGTCAGTAGGGCACCAGAATAAGAAATACAAATATAAAGACTAGATATTGGACTATTTGTAGACACATGAGTTTTCTACATGTGAGCATCCTAGTTTTCTTCATGTTTTGCTATTTGTAGCAAGATGTGACTTCAACATGTCAAACCTTGGTCTGGCAATAAAAACACCCACTTTCACTCATTGTTTCTTCCTGTAAAGAGTGGGATTGTGCCAGGTTGACACAATCCGGAGCTAATGGAAGCCAATGCATCCCTCTGGAATGGATGCATGCCACAGGAGGCACAAAGATGTCCCTGCAGTTTGTCAGGGGCATGTGCCCATGTGATGTCCAAACCGAGGCAGCCAAGCCAGCTGCTCTGACACTCCACAGGTCATGAGCACCCAAGGCCATCAGATTCTTTGGAAAATCTCAGCCAAAAGGTGTGGTGGTTTGTCAATAACATCCAACCCTCCCCCCTACTCTTCCTTCAGTCTGTTAGTAGTGCTTTCTTAAAGGTTTATTGAACTTAATCCTTAATGGGATTTTATTTATGTATTATTCTTCATAAACTTCCATGATATGTGACTTTTTCTAGTCTCTAATTTCTAAAATTATAGGAATCAATATTACTTAGTGGAAATTATGACTCCACCTTATTTTCCCCCCTTTCTTTAATGACTTGAATATGCACAACAAGATTAATGGTAATACAGTCATTTTCCCTACTTATACAAGCCAAAAGCTTTCAATTAAGTTTTTATTTTAGTTCCACAAAAGGTTAAATATGAAAGGTTGTGTTGTGACCCTGCAAAACATACCAAAGCAATAAGGTGTATCTACCTACAGAAGTTGGTATTGTGTCTTCAAAATCACATTTCCCAGACTTAAACATAGTATTTCATATGGAGTACTGCTAGATCATAAGTAACAGAGACAGAATAAAAGCTCACTTGATGATAACAGAACAATGCCAAATACTCCAGAAGCTAAAATTTCAGTATAGAGCAACAGAAAAAAAAACCAAAACACTTCTGGAAAACTGACTTTAGAAACCTACATAAATTATGCAATAAGCAATTGCATATATAAATATAATATATTTTAACAGAAATTTGAAATGCAGTGAGAAATTAATGTTTTTTATAGACATCTGACTCCGTTTTAATGAGCTTCTTTATACTGCAGCAGTTCTACCCTTGGAATGTTTTCCTAGCTAACTTTCAAGTATTTTTTTATTCACCTAAAAAAACTCTGCTGCTTTTTTTTTTTTTTCCTATGGCAAAAAAATTGTATAATGAATGGCCTCACAAAGCAGCCCCAACCTTTTAGTTAGAAATCCTTTATTACCCCATCACATTTCATTTGATGTCAAGACATTATTCGCAACTTTAATCAGCCAATACCAAGACCTAAAACTTTGCATATGTCTAAACCACATTTCTTATTCCATGCCTTTTGTTCTTCAGGTGCCTCATGTTCTTTAGATATTTTGCAGAGCTTTATTTTGTCAAGATACCCTGGTTTTGTGTAAGACTTGATCACCATCCATTTACCAACACAATTAAGTTATTTGAGCTTTGTGATGAATTAACTTCACTCACAGCCAGAAATCAGCCATGGGCTTTGCCACCTGAACATGGTAGTGTGGGTGGTACCAGTATCACTGCACTGGTATGTGGGAGAATGCTTCATACACAACCTTGGGGCAACAGCAGGTGCTATCACCCAGGGCTTGGAATCCATGCCTTCCTTCCCTTTTGTTTTCTTTTTTAATACATCCACCCCACCACCCCAACAATGTAAAAGAATCAGTGAATGTATTTCTGATACAAACTTACAACTGTAGAAAAAGTACACTTGGGAATTCTGCTTTTACTGGCAGGTGGTACATCTGCTTCCCTGTCATTATTTTTTGCTACAGTACACAAACTGCTGGCAACTTCAGGCAAAGTTTTTGACTCTTCCATAATCTTTATAGAGCTCCTTGAACTAGATAAAGAAATAATTCTTCCGTATAAATCAAACTCATGTCGCAAGTATTGTTTAATCACACACAGAAATGACCTCTGAGCCATGAGAATAGTAACTCCCCCACTAGGAAATACAAGAGAATTTCCATGTGACCTGCTGCCTTGAAAGCACTTTGGTAATGAGGTAACAACCTCTGTATCAAAACGTATTCTAAATACTGAAAAATCCCTTCGAATAACACCATCCTAGGTGTTATTGTACTAACAGTAACAGGTTGCTTTTAAACATCTTTACTTTCATCTTGAGGTCTAGGCACTGTCATTTAACAGTCACCATCAGACATAAGAAGAGCTTCAGAGGTAGATATTTATTTTTTTTTAACTCAAATTGCCTGATATAATTTTAATGCCTCTGGAATACACAGAGGCCTGCGATAGTGACCAACAAATCTGAGGCTACAAGACCAGAGCATTCAGCATTACCTGGCTTTGACACATGTCCTTTCACTGCACCTGGGAAATCAAATCAACCTGTTACTATCACTTTTGAATTTCTCAGCTGAAAAATCAGGGGTAACATCAGGCAAGCACAATCACTGGAGACTCTGGCTGCTTGTTTAACCAACATATTAGACATCCTCACATCTGACCCTCTTCTCACTAGTAACTAGCAATAGGACAAGAGGAAGTGGCTTCAAGTTACACCAGGAGAGGTTTAGGTTGGATGTTAGGAAAAACGTCTATACAAAAAGCATTTTTAAGTGCTGGAACAGGCTGCCAGGGAGGTGGTTGAATGTTTTTTGTTTAAAAAATCATAGAGATATGGGGCTTCAGGATGTGGTTTAGCAGTGGGGCTGTAGAGCAGAGGTTGGCAGAGTTATGTTGAAGTTTGGACTGGATGATCTTACAGGTCTTTTCCAACCTGAACCTTCTATGATTCTATGATTTTATGACCCTTCTCTATACTGCTCAATGACCTCACATTTGTAACAGCTGATGGGGT